GATTTTTTCGGGTCGGATCAAAAATTGACACCCCTACTAGGGGGGCACGTGCCCCCTCCTTCCTGCAAGCGATTTCAATGTAATCCAATGCTTTCGTTTGAGTATGAATCTGAAACTCCCAAAGCAAATATTCCAAACATTCATCATTGTTATAATCATTTCTTCTTTCTTTTAGAATTATTTGGTGACATTTGAAGAGCTCAAATTTATTCGTTAATAAATAGTTTCTATCAATGAAACATTTGTTTCGTCGTTACCATTTTCTTCCCCCGATGAGCATTTTCATGAAGGTCATCGACACGCTAACTATCATTTACTTGGTTTCTTAGGCTTATGGTTGGCACAATAAAACCATCTTATAACAACTATGAGCATTGAAAGCATTTTAACTAAAAAAACAGTAATAACATATTTGCTTTTTACTGTTTACTACCTAACATACATCAAATTATGATTTTAAGCGGTTATTAATTTTTTCGGTCTTGCTCAGCAACTATATATACACATATGTATGTAGAAACAAAGTTAAAGTTGGGCCACCCTAAAAAAAATTATGACCCCAGTCACTAGTAAAGATATTACATCAAATCAATAAACAATTAATATATATTTAATTTATCTGGAAGTTTTCATATGAATAATTTCAAAATTGATTATGTATGGACTATTTAGGATAGCTTATTATTATGCTTTTAAGATATCAACACAATTTCTGTTTGTCTATTATTCTTTTAAATTAAAAAAAAAAAAATTTATACTTCGAAGTTATTTTTTAAAATACTTTTTTTTTAAATTATTTCATCCATAATAACTTTACAATTATCTTTGCAAAATAATGCAAGTCAAAACATCAAACATTACTCGCTTATTGTGAGCTTCCCTCAAGAAAGAGTAATGGCTTCTTAGACAATAAGTTTAGGACTGAAATTTTGGTGCAATTATATTCACTTAAGGCCCATTTGATTGTTTGAAATTTAAAAAAAATGTGAAATTTGTAAAATATACTATTTAGTTGAATATAATTATATATTAATATTGAGTTTTTTTTTTCAAAATTAAATCAAATATCATACATTTATTTTCATGCATTAAAGAGCTGAATTTTTTTTTTTAAATATAATTTTTTTTATCCACTAGCTGCCAAATGAGCCTACAGTGATCCCTAAGCACTTAAAGACTTTCTAGTATAGAAAATTTATACTAGAAAGCTGTTTTAGGTAGCAGTACGAAAGCTGCCCCAAACGAAGCCTAAATGTATATTATCAAATTTGTGATACATATCATGAAAATCTTTTATCAGAAGATTTTAATGATTTATACTCATAGAAAGAACAATGCATTTCATCCCCCAAATAAATTTAATCATCAAAGAAAAATTTCTGCCACAACCATAAAATCATAACTTATCATTTATAATGAAAGATGGGAGCATTATTTCTCATGAACTACCTTTTTGCCACCAAATAACTCCATATCATTTATTCAATAAATACATCAAATCTTTATTCATCATTGGAAGATATGGTATGAAGATGTCAAATTCAATCATATTAGTTGCCAATATGTACTCAACATTAAAGAAAAACTGTTTGTACAAAATTTTGGTACATATATCAAATTATATTGAGTTGTTTAATTTGAACTACTTAAAAGAATATTGTAGATGAATAGTATCTAATAATAAAATTAAATTATGTGGAGATTAAGGATTTACTTGGGATATAGACTGCAGTGTTTTATAAAGTTGGTTGTGAAATTATTGTGAGAAAAATAACTATGATGCTATGGTTATGAAAAATAGCTTTTCATTATATTTTTTTTCTTTTTTGAAAAAATAATAAGAAAACAAGAGTCAAACAATGGCTTTGCTTGGGATGACTTTTTACTGATTTTTGTACTATAAATCTACTTTAAGAAGAAGTAAAAAAGTCGTACCAAACAAAGTCAAAGTTGTAGTTATTGTCTGAAAAACAAAACAGTCCAAAAACTATCTCAAACTTATCCTAAATAAATAGAAAAGTTAAAAAAAGACAAGAAGAATGACATTTTCTTGGTGATAATTAACAAAGTGAAGTGCGCAAAAAATTGGTAAGAAAATTAAATAAATTTATTATTTTGTTCTCAAATAATATAGGGTAATAAGGGAATTAGTGTACTATATATATAATTTGAAGATATCATACATTTAATTTTATGTTAAACATGAATATAAAATATTTAAAATAAAAAACAAAGGTGATCTCATAAGGCCCCTAATTCAATTTGAATAAGGAACTTTCTCTAGTTGACTCAAATCCATTAAGAATCTAACTTCAAATTTATTTGAAATAAGTATGACGCATTAGTTAGTTGCTTTATTTTTCAGACTGCAACTATAATTTCTTTTGAATATTCTTTATTTTTTTTTTTGCTTTTTCAATGTTTTCATAAATTTCTCCAGTAGAAAGATGTTTTTTGCGATTATAATAACAAAATTATTCTTTTACAACTATTTCACATCAACTTTATAAAACTTTGTAACCGCCACAAAAACCGCTTAGCCTCAAACTCATCTTCAGCTAAATTTACATTTGCCTTGCAAAGACATCGACTGGAGAAGTTATTGGACTCTATGGACTATGGCGTGCTAGTATGTAAGTTGATTTTAATGGGACGAGGTCGGGTCTTCGGTCGGAAAAATTATTCTCTCCGGACAACGGTGCCGCTGTCGATACCAAGCGCCTAATGATGTGACGCTTTTTTATTGGTCTCTGAACACGTTCGGTGTCCGAATACAATACTATCTCCTTCGGTTGAGTAGTCGATAGAAGAAATTTCTCCCATCTCATCCCGGGTCAAATCCCCTAACGTACCAAATAAAGATTTTAATGGGCTACTCTGACAAGGCCGCCGTTGGGCAGTTCAAATGAGCAAAGCTGTTGTGATCATCGGCCTGTCTTTTTGTCATGATTTTGAGTCTTTTTAATAGAAAATGACGAGTTATTTTGCTATCATTTGAGTAGGGTCTAAGTTTTTTTTTTTTTGGGAAAATTTGGAGCAATGCCCGTGTATTAAAAAAATAGATTACAAACAGCAAAAAAAAAAAAAAAACTCTATAATCTAAGTTACAAGTAAAAAGAGAGCTGTATCAAAAATTAACTAAAGAGAGCACCAAAAAATTAGCTCGAAGAGGTACAGGAGGCCTAAAGTGGGAAAAGTTATTACGTCCAGATAAAAAATAGGAAATTCGGACAAATACCGAACGATACCGAGTGCTCGGTACCGAGCACCCAAGTGACACGACACTTTGTTATTGGTCTCTGAACGCGTTCGGTGTCCGGACACAATAATTACTCCTAAAGTGAACTCAGAAGTGGCAGGAATCAACAAACACGGGCAATGAAGCATTCATGGAAAGAGGGGCTCTGGTGCCCGGTCAAAAACCGGCTAAGTTATGCTTATTTGTGAGTCCGATTAGACTTGATTCGATTTGTAGCTTCTAAGGTTCCTGATGCAGAGCATTTTAGCATAATGGCACATTGGCACAACTTATCCTATTAGCTTCCCACTCATATTAGTATCTTTCTGTTATAATAGTCCTGATCTACCTTTATAATTACAATTTTAGGACATACATATATAAAAGGGAAGATAACATAGATAGAAACAGGCAGATATAAAATTTGGTTTTCCAGCATAACCATTCTTCCTTTGGTTCCCTGTTGTTGGCTCTACTTCTTGCTGGTTGCATCAGCTTCGTTTGGGATTGTTTTTTTTTTTTCCCTATTTTTAAAGTAATTTTTAATATAAAATTTCTAAAATTAGAAATTGTTTTACTATAAAATAATAAAAAAGCTTTTCAAAATAAACCTTAAGTCTAATTGGATAAACTAGTGAGTTAAACTAATATGGAGTGATTAAAGGATATAAGCCCATGGAGTCCAAGGCTTGGCAACAATTTAGATGAAATAAGAGGAGATTTTGAGAACAAATGTCCTTAAATCTTTGCTCATCTTGCCTAGTTTTGTTTCCTAAAATGCTATACAATAAATATGAGTGCTAAGAGTTTAAGAAGTTGAAATCTAGTGGTAGCTTTAGGACTTCAAATATCTAAAAGAATTATGCTACTTTGTGTTGAAATTAATGAGTTATATCTAATTTGAATATTTGATTCCTTAAAATATAATGGGCCTATATGGTTAAGAATTTAGAATACATGAATTTTTTTGTATATTTTTTGCACAAATTTGTTTTAATGTCCCTTTTGAATCAATGTCCAGCAATTTTTAAGGAAGTTTGATGAAATCTAACATTGATTGGCTGGATATGCTACAAAATGGAGAGATTATTATGTGCGGAGTCCGAATGAGTCTGCATGTCAATTCGGACGCGTCACATCACCTAATGCACTGTGCATTGGGTGACGTGGCGCATCCGAGTTGGCCTCCATCGCACGTAATAATTTTTTCATAAAATGAGGGGTAGAACCTTCCTCTCTTTTGAGGGTGGGCAAAATTGAGTTAAAAAATATTAAATTTTTATGTATGAAATAGGAAAATTGATTTTTTTTTAGAATTTGGGTAATTGTATTTATTGAAAATGGACTAAATTTTAGGGTGGACAAATATTTTTAGGATGGCCTAAGCTCTTTCTGATTCAACTCCAGCCTAAAATTACACTTGTGTAGTAAAAAGAAAAAGATTGTTAATCCTACTTAAATCACAGGTAAAGTGACAGGTCAAATTGGGGCTTACCAGGTTGAGAGTCATCTATCTTTATTATATTTGAATTTATTTAAAAATTAAAATTACACAACACAACCTCATAGAAATTTAATCAGAATATTTGATATAAATTTCTTTCATTTGTAATACTATTCTTCATTTTATTTAAAATTCTTTTTATTAGTCAAACTTATTAGATGTTTGCATAATTTTTTTCGATTTTGTTTAAGGAACATAATTTTGTCTTTGATTTTATTATTATTAAATGCTTCCTTTATATTTCGTATTCGTCGACACACGTACGGATCCAATTACATACGCAGGACCGCCACGGCGAGCTTCCAATCTTACTTCCAGGTGTAGCTTCGGAAGCTCTTCGGCAGGGTCCACGGTAACGCCGGCCATGGACCTCTTCTCCGCCCTTACGTGTCCTGAAAACGGTATATCCACCGCTCGGTTTCTCTTCATCAACGATTGGCTTTCAGGTGTTTGTTTTTTACCCTTATACAGACTGACATAAGGAACAACTGAAGAAAAAGAAGGGAATAGAGGGACAAGCAACAACGATCACTGGTCTAGTAGACCCTTGGGAGCCAAGCTCGATCGTCACCGGAGAAAGTTACCCGGCTAAACAGTAAGGGAAAGACTATGGAATCCGTTATTGGGCTTCTCAGGGTCCGAATCATAAGAGGGGTCAACCTCGCCGTCCGAGACACACGGGGAAGTGATCCCTACATCGTCCTAAGCTTGGGTGGCCAGGTCCTCCCTTTCCTTCATTCCCTACATGCTTCGATTCCGTTTTTGCTTGGTTGTATTGTGTTTTAGGCAGTCAATGTTGGAATTGAGAAAAAGGAAGGAAGAGAAGGTCTTTTTTTGTTTACGTGATTGTTTTCCTTTTATTTTGTTTTGAGAGTAGCACGCAGGTCCAGTAGTACAAGGGGTTGGCAGAGGGATCACTAATGGAGTACGGGGGTGTTAATTTGGCATGTTGTGGGCAGGATGCTTAACTTTTTCTGGTATGATTTTGGGATGAAAATCCATGGAGAAATTTACTCCGTCAGTAAAAAAAAAATTGTCTTCATTGGTTTGTTTAAAATTGAGTCTCTGTTGAATGATTTTATCAGAATGGGATTGTTCAGCCGGTCTTGAAGGACTTATCCTAAATGATAACTCTGTCTCTGTTGAATGAACTAATTAGATCAGACTGCAGTCTCTCGGCATGGAGAAATTATTACATCCCGTCAAAAACCAAACGGTCCGAATGTATACCGAGCAATAGCTGTTAGCATAACAATACATTAAGTCTTAGTTTAGACTGTATTTACATATTTACCATTGTAACTTCTTTATATAGGACTATGTACAAATGCTTTTGATCCATGAAATACAATTTTCCTTTTCATCTTTTTTGGCTCCGTGACCCGTCTCCTTCTCCATTGTTCTTTCCTTCTTGATACTTTCTTCTCATGGTATCAGGTGCCACTATGGGAGATCAAGACTCCGCAAACTCCAATCCTCCCTCCTCCTCCACCCAAATCGACACCTCCACCGCCACTATCTCCATACCTCAGCCACTCAAGTTTCTTGTATCAAACATCAAGAATCTCGCTCCTCACCCTCTCACGTCGGAAAACTACCCAATCTGGACAATGCAGATTATGCAACAATTCTCGGCCAACGGCTATACCGGCTATATCATCGGCGCTGCTCAAGCTCCCGCCGACGACACCTCCGACGTCTATGCCCGTTGGTGCATCACCGACAGTAATCTTCTCTCTGCTCTATTCTCCACCATCTCGCAATCAATTCTTCCCTACATCATCACCTCCACCACCACCCATGAGGCTTGGTCCATTCTTGAACGGCGGCTTCAGCCTACAAGCCGATCACGTGTGATGCAACTGAAGAACGAACTTTACTGCATCACCATGAAAGATCAAACTCTGCAACAATACCTTGCCCGAATCAAGAACATCGTCGACAACATCTCGGCCTCCGGATCCAAAATCGAATCCGAGGACATCATTCTACACATACTCAACGGGCTTCCTCCCACCTTCAACTCATTTAAGTCCACCATACGCAATTCTCTCCTTCCCATCGACTTAGACATGTTCTACTCTATACTGTGTAACGAGGAAATACATCTCCAGCAAGAACTCACTCAAGATCAGGCAAATAACTCGATGACAACGACTCTCTACGCAGCCCCGTCCAACCAGCCCCGCGGCAGATCTTTCCGTCGTTACCCCAAGACCAAGAACACGCAGACTTCTTCCAACCTTCCTGCCAATCAGCCGACCAACTCCCCTGCTCCAACTCAAACTCGCCCGACCTGCCAAATATGTGGCAAGATCGGTCACGTAGCACTCAATTGCTGGCATCGCTGCAACTTCAAGTCGCGCCCAACAAGTTCAAACAACCGCGTGCTCTTCTTGCTAATCCACCGAACTCTTCTCATCAAGACTGGGTTCTTGATTCCGGCGCCTCCGCACACCTAACTCCGGACGTCCACAATCTTTATCAACCCGCTGCCTACCACGGAACGAACAACGTCTCTATCGCCAATGGCTCCTCCATGTCCATCCAATCCGCAGGTCAAGGCATCCTACCTCTACCCGACACTACGCGTAAGCTTCGTCTACAAAACCTTCTTCACGTCCCTCCCTCACTCACAATCTCCTTTCAGTATCCAAATTAACCACTGACAATTCTGTGTCCATTTCTTTTGATGCTAACGGATTTACCATTAAGGACCTTCAGGACCGCCGTCCTCTGCTTCATGGGCATCTTCATAACGGTCTTTATCAGATTCGTCTCACCCCGGAAAACAAGCAAACCGCTCTCACCGCTACCACACCGACGCATAACCCCTGGCACGCTCGTCTCGGCCATCCCAGCAACCACGTTCTTTCTGTCTAGCGCAACATTTTTCAGAAATTTCAAATGTATCTCATTCTTTCATACCCGTCTCCTTCTCCACTGTTCTTTCTTTCTTGATACTTTCTTCTCAATACCGAGTCCAAAATATCGAGTTTTAGGTGACGTGGCGCGTGGTTATTGGTCTCTGAACGCATTCGGACACCGGATGTAATAATTGCTCCTCGGCATGACAGACTTTAACTGCACATAGCAAGATAAAACATGCTTAATGATTAAATTTCTATTGGGTTTAATGAAAAAGTTTTGATAGAAATGCCCACATGTTAAGGATTTATTATTCTGTGCGGAGTCCGGATGGCATCCGGAGACCAATAAAAAGGAATCACGTCACCCCAAAATGTAGCTCGCTCAGCATAGCTCGGCACCGCGCTCAATACCGCTCGGCACCAAGCGCGTAATCGGACGGTTGACGGGAGAACCGTCCGATGTCCGCACAGAATAATAGCTCCATGTGAAGGCATGTGAGAATGTTTAGCCTTTTCTCACATTGGATAGCTGATAAATATCTTGGTGCAAAAAATCTAAAGTTTTAGCTGCTTTTTTTTCACTTATGGGCTTAAATTATTAGCTAAAAATTGGTTTGACTATTTGTTGTATCATGCACAAATGTGTTCATGAGTTGTGTTACAAGACATCAAATAAAAAGGACATTCTAGTCGTTTTTCTCCAAGCTCTATCCTATTCTACCACAAACTACTGGACGTGAGCTTCCCTTTTGATTTTGAGCAAGGATGGGTTCTTTGCGATATCTTGTTCAACTAAGCGAGCAGGAAGATTGCAATCCAGATAGAGGAGATTTTGATTTTGAAGATTTTCAAAAATCCAAGGAGATTTATATGCCTGTGTTCTTTGAGATTTATCTTTTTTGCTCTCTTGAAAAAGCTTATTTCAAATTTAGTGATATGTTCTCCACCTCCTTAGTTTTTTGAGAAGAGGAGCTGATGTATTTTATTACTCTTCTTTATTTATTGTCATCCAAACTTTTGAAAGTGAAATTATCTGTAGGGTGTAAACAAAATTGAAACAAAAAGGTAAAAAAGCAAATACGGCGGAGAAGGAACACCGGAATTTAACATGAAAAAAAAAAAACCGAGAGCCACAACACACCAAAAAATTCATTACGAAATTGGGAGAAATTTTACAAATCTTACTCTCTCATTCTCTCTTAGTCTTCACCCCCTTTCATGCACACACTCAAACCTTTTGAGGTTATAGTTGCATAAAAATTGTTGGAAAGAAACTGACTCAGCCAACCGCATTGCCGCGGCCTTGGCTTTTTTGTTCCATGGTGGGTCCCAAGCATTGCGGTGTTGAGTTCACAGCGCCTCTGCTATGAGCTCTCTGTCTCTAAGGGGGACCAAATATCACAATGGTGCACACACAATTTTTTTTTGAAATATTAATTAGTAGTGCAATCTAATTGATTGACACAATCTGATTCCAAAAAAACTAACATCAACATCTCACCCCTTGGATGTAGGTTATTCTTGAACGAATCACATAAATTTTAGTGTTCTTGTCTCTCTATGATTGCATTTATTATTTCTTTATTATCTCTGTGGTGCTAATTTTATTCGTCTTTGGTTAATTAGATTGCTCTTTTTGAAACTTTTTGAGAGAAGTGCTTTGGTATTTTTATTACAACATGTGTTAACTTTATTTTTCACCAATCATTAATTTTAAATTATACACAATTTTTTTGTCCTGTTTTCTTTTTTATGTTATTTTTATTCCTAATCATTCTATATTAATTCGTTCAACCATCTATTTTTGGGCAAATTTGCCATCCTTTGTACATGATCAAACTACCTAAATTTATTTTTTATTGCTTACTAATTTTGCTTCTATAGGTGCTAATTCACCGTAATATAAATTTTCTTACTACACATTCATCATATTATTATTTTTTTTACTGCACTTTATTTATAGATATTTTTTCTCAGATTTTCTCTTGTTTGATTTTGGCTTCTATGTTTTATACATTTTACCAAACTTTATATGGCTGCCAATACAAGACATAGTAATTCATTGCATTTCTCTTAGGGTAGATTGTAATGCTTCTTGACTATGCCATATTTTTTAAAATTTGAGAAGCTCCCAAGTGAAGGTCTTCCTTTTACTGCACTTTTTCCTTATTTTAAATTAACGAAAGAGACCCTTTGAACGTTGTGAACATTGCTTGTAAGTAAAATCTAGGGTTTATCCACAAAGCAATAGAGTTTAGATGCCCATTCATATTGGAGGACATAGTCATTGCAGCTGGTTATATATTTGAATTCGTCTTCTGTCGTACATGATGCTTTTAACATTTTTAGCTGTTTTTATATTAAATTCATAATGATTTTCCATCTATTTATAACATTGTTGTTCTGTTCCCACGCTGCATATTCGTTGAACAGAAATTGAAGACCAGTACAATCAAGAACAATGTCAACCCAGAATGGAATGAAGACTTAACCCTTACTGTTTCTGAGCCTCTCCAACCAATTAAACTCGTATGTTTTTCTTATTCCTAATAATAATAATCATACTGTTATCGCAGTTTTGAGTTTCATGATCATTGTTTATTTTGTTAAAAGTTCCTCTAAACATTATAATCTCCAGCAGAGTATTTGTATAAGGCATTTTTGAAGGATTTATGTGTTTATACTTCTTTCTTCTCCAATCATATTAACTGTTTCATTTTCTTTTTCCCATTTATTTCATAGCTCTCCATAGCTCTCTCTTCGAGTCTTAGTAGCATGTTGTTTCTTATTGCACAAGATACAAGAGAGATGGTCTAAATACGAGGAAAATTTTCCTTGAGTTTAGTGTAGAAACTAGAGACAGGAAGAACAAGAACAAGAACCGAAAACTGAGGAAAGGAAAGTGATGAATTCATTTCATAGAGTTGCAGTACATCCGTATATATAGAGTAAGATAGTTGCAGTAATACAATAATAACTAATAGCATAAAGCCACATCAACAAAGATTAATAATGCATTATTTATTTATTTACTATTATGCTCTAACAGTCCCCCGCAATCCGAGGGATCTTGAAGTACCGTCAGATTGTGTCGTAGCTTGAGAAAGCGTGGAGTAGACAATGCCTTTGTAAAGATATCCGCAGTTTGATCGATTGTGCTGATGGGTAGGAGGCGAATGTTGTTTTGTTGTAGATGGACCCGAATGAACTTCTGATCTATTTCAATATGTTTTGTTCGGGTGTGAAAAACATGATTGTTCGCCAGTGCAATTGCGGATGTATTATCACAAAATATATATGTAGGATAGTTTTGAGATATTCCAAATTCAGATAGTAGACGGCGTAGCCAGATTATGTCTGTTGTTAGAGTTGCAAGTGCACGATATTCCGACTCAGTAGATGATCTAACAATTGTGTGTGCTTTTTGACAGTCCAAGAGATAATCGGGTCACCTAGAGATGAACAATAGCCTGATGTTGATTTTCTGGATACCGGGTCGCCGGCCCAATCAGCATTTGAAAAGGATTTGAGAAGTAGATTAGTTTTTGTAATAGGAATCCCAAAATCAATCGTACCTTTTATAGGGAAGAAGACGTTTGAGCATATAGAAATGTTGAGATTGAGGATCATGCATGTGTTGAGATAATTAGTTGACACTGTACGCAATGTCAGGACGAGTGAGTGTCAAATTTTGTAAGGACCCGATGATACGGCGATAGAGCAAATGATCACTGGCATGCTGATCGGTCAGATAGGTGGCTGGGAACTTCGTACATGTCGGATTTGCTAATGGCTTGCAGTTTAGTAAATCCATTTATTGAAGTATGCAGGCAGCATATTTTCTCTGTGATAGAAAATACGAGTATGTATGTTTATCTATCTTAATACCAAGAATCTCATGAACCGAGCCTAAATGCTTCATCGAGAAGGTTGTTCCAAGATGTTTGATGACCGATGTCACAGGATTATTGCCAGTGATTAGAATGTCGTCCACATATACCAACAGAAAAATTGTATCTTGTTGTTGGCGAAGGATGAGAAGAGATGGATCCGATTTGCTGTGAGTAAAGCCGATGGAAACCAAGAATGTAGTGAAAGTATTGTACCACTGACGAGGAGCTTGCTTGAGGCCATAAATGGCCTTGTGGAGATGGCAGACGTGATTCGGAAAGTTGGAGTCTTCGAAACCTTTGGGTTGAGTCATGAACACATCTTCGGACAGCTTTCCATGGAGAAACGCGTTGGCGACGTCAAGCTGATCGACTTGCCAGCTGTTGTGTAATGCAATAGCAAGTAGAATTTGTATAGTCGGAAGTTTAAGCATTGGACTAAATGTGTCAGTATAGTCCAATCCAAATTCTTGACGGTTACCTTGAGCCACCAGGCGAGCTTTGTACTTTGCAGCAGAGCCATCTGCATGAACCTTTGTTTTGTATGTCCATTTGCAGCCTAATATGGATGATCCAGATGGTCGTTGAACAAGACTCCAGGTTTCTTGTTGCTGTAAGGCCTGGAATTCTTGAGCCATTGCTTCGCGCCACTCAGGGAATTTGATAGCTTGAGTATACGTTGACGGTGTTTCAGGTCCCAGAACAAGAGATGGAGAGGTAGATTGAGAGTGAAGCAGATTCAAGCGAACCACAGGTTTCAGAGATCCTGTTTTGTTCCAAGTTAGCATATGATGCGTAGGTTGCGTGGACCCGATGGGAGAAGATATGGGAATTTTGTTCTCGGTGTGAGGTAAAGACTGGGATGGAGAATGCTTGGTAGGAGTAGAAGTCTTGTGAGTGTTGGTTTGCAAAGAGGTAGTAGCTGCCTGAGGAATAGATAGAGGAATCAAGAATTGAGGTGGCATGTTGGACGATGGGTTGAGAGAAGCAGTGTGATCATTAGAGATAGTGTTGAATGGAAAGAAGGTTTTGTCAAAAGAAATGTGTCTAGAGATTATGATTTTGTTGGTAGACATTTCTAAACATTTGTACCCTTTGTAGGTATCCGAGTATCCAAGAAAAACGCATAGAGAGGAGTTTGGTTGGAGTTTATGATGTTCACGATTGGGAGATAGAGGAAAACAGACACACCTGAACGTGCGAAGGTGACAGTAGTTGGGTTTAGAGTTGTGAAATAGTTCAAAGGGAGTCAGATGATCCGTAGTCGGAGAGGGTAGACGATTTATAAGATACGTAGCAGTAAGGAAAACATTAGGCCAATGGTTGTAAGGAACATAACTAGTTTGAAGTAGCGTTCGCGAAGTTTCAATTAAATGTCTGTGCTTACGTTCTGCCACCCCATTTTGTTCTGGAGTGTAAGGGCATGAGACTTGATGAGCGATGTCATGACTATTTAAGAAATGTTTAAAATTGTGATTAAGAAATTCAATTCCTCCATCAGTGCGAAGCATTTTGATGGTATGCGAGGTATGTTTTTCAATTTGATTTTTAAAAGTTACAAATATATTGAAAACCTCTGATTTTTGTCTCATGAGAAAAATCCACGAAAAACGAGAAAAATGGTCAATAAAAAGCACATAATATCGGTAACCTTGAGTAGAAACGACGGGGGCAGGACCCCAAACATCCGAATGAATGAGGGACAGGGGAGAGAGTTGTCTGTTATTTGATCGTTCAAAAACTATTTTGTGACCTTTGGATTGTTTACACGGTAAGCATAACGTCTGATCAGTGTTTATTCTAAGCATGGGATTACATTGAGCAATTTTACTAAGCACCCGAAGATTGGGATGGCCTAGTCTATTATGCCATGGAATTGACCGATCGCTGGCAGCAGCTAAAGTCGAAGCATGAGAAGAAGAACTATTGAACCGAATGGGGTAGAGACCATTTTCATATGGTCCTTAAAGCAGCACCTGTTGCGTCTTCATGTCCTTCAACACAAAACTGGTCGGATTAAAGATTATAGAAATATCATTTTCTTTGGTGAGTTTTGAAATAGAAAGCAAATTGGAATAAAGAAACTGTGTGTGAAATATTTGAGATGAAGAAAGCTTATGTGAGGGAGTCAGTAACAAGCCTGTACCAATATTGGTGATGTTAACCGATCTCCCATCACCTACCGTGACGGTCTCAGATCCTTGATATGGTGTTGCAATGGACATGTTATCCAAAGAATTGGTTAGATGGTTTGTTGCCCCTGAATCAAGAAACTAATTCGAGTATGAGCTGTCTGAATTTGCTGCTAGTGCTCGGGACGTCACTTGCTGTGTCTGCGGCACGTAATTCATGTCCAGTCGATGCCAGCAACTAGAGGCAACGTGACCTCTCTTGGCACAGATATGACAGATCACCGTGGAATTGGAAGAAGAACGAGACATGGTGTTGGCATTTGAATGGTAGCGGCCCTGAGAGCATCAGCCGCGTCCACGATTGGTGACTAACGCGGTGTTTGGATCCGGCATAGAGGAGGCCCGAGTAGTGTCAGACGTGATGTTGATTTCTTCACTGAGCAGAAGAGGATAGAGTTGATCAAGGGAGAGGGGAGTTAGCATTGTGCGAATTGCAGTTTTAAAAGATTGGTATGCGGACGGGAGACCATTGAGGATGTAAAGAATTACATCTTCATGATCAATTTGCGAGCCAGAAGCGAAGATTTGATCAACGATAGACTTGATTTCGGAAAGATATTGAGTGATAGTTTGATTCTTGAGAGAGATGTTTTGGAGAGAGTTCTTGAGTTGAATAACCTTGGATCTATTTGTTGATTGAAACCTTATTTCAAGAGTGGACCAAATTGTTGCTGTTGAATCCAGATTTACCACATAAGGTAAAATGGCGGAGGATATGGTGGAATAGATAGCAGCGGCTAGGTTTTGGTCAGTTAGAAGCCATTGAGTAAACTGACGATTTGGAGTAGATCTGCCATCGGTTTGAAGAAGAACCAAGGATGGAGGGGGTAAAGAAGAATCAAGAAAACGATCAAAGCCATTTGCACGAAATTTTTTTACGATTTGAGCTTTCCAAACGGCGTAGTTGTCGGCATCAAGCTGAATGGAGACGATCGTCTTTAGATTTGAGACGACAAATTTTAATGCCGACGGGATCAGCGAATCTTCGAGCTCATCCATGTCTGAGAGCTCTCTGGGGTTGGAGGTGTCTGAACTCATCGTTTGGAGAGACCTCCTTGGCTGGCTTTAGATACCATGTAGAAACCAGAGACAGGAAGAACAAGAACAAGAATCGAAAACAGAGGAAAATAAAGTGACGAATTCATTTCATAGAGTTGTAGTACATCCGTATATATAGAGTAAGAGAGATATAGTAATACAATAATAACCAATAGCATAAAGCCACATCAGCAAAGATTAATAATACATTATTTATTTATTTACTATTATGCTCTAACATTTAGAGCTCTCTTTGAAAGTCTTGGTTGCTCGGTATTTCTTGTTTGCAGAAGATATTAGGAGATTGAATGGAACTGAATGCTTCATGTGGACAGAGAAACTTCAGCAAAATTTGATTGGCTAACCTGACCGTAGGTTGGTGGCTCCTAATCATAGGCTCAATCCTTAG